GGGCGGGGGGGACAGGGTCTGTTATCGCTGGCCCCAGGACAGATCATCAGATATGGCCTGGGGACCCCCAACACCTGGGGGCCTTCCTGTAAGGGCGTGAAAGGGGGCAGAACCATATCTGCAAGACAAAGACCCCAGAAGATTATAAAAAGTGAAATCCTCTGCCTGTTTCTTCACTCTGATTTGGAAATTATTCCCAGAGTCCACTAGTGTTAATAAACAGGGTCCCTCCCTTTCTCTAGGAAGCATGCTTGGTATTTCTTTGGTCTTCTGCCACACCCAGGGATGGAATACACCAAGTGCAAGATCTTGGATATGTAGAAAACATCCCTGCATCCTTTTCCCAAACAGTGGGTCCCAACATAGGGTCCTAATGTGACTTTCTCCCCAAAATGAATGGAATAATTCTACATATTAGAATAGATGTCTCAACTCCTACTAGGCAAAATGTAAAGGTCCGCTCTACATAGTTTCCTCCATTTCCAGCTTCAGAGCAGATGGAGTGATGAGAGCATGTCTCAGGGTCCTGTACATTTCTCCTCCAGTTGGCCCATGGTCCTTGCTCTGTTCACGTCGGTCTAACTGCCTAGTACATTCGCCCTCAAGAATCTTGGCTCTGAATTCTTTCAGAGAAAGGGAGTGCAGAGTCTCTTTTATAACTGCTTCATGCTGAGGAGGTGTAACCAGACAATCAGTGGGTTCGTGCTGCCTGACACTACTTGAGCCAATTAAGCAGAGACAGGGTTGAATCATATATGAGCATTTATTCCAGTACTGCTAGCAGTATGGAAAAGTAGCAGGTCATCCACAAAAATATGCTCTGCACCCCATCATAAGCCAGCTGCTTATATTGGGTAGGACAAAGATTACATGGGGAAGTAGACAAAAGAGTATGCCAAATGGGCAGTTTACTGGTAATGCGGGCTGGAGATTTGCAAAAGCCTATGGGTATGCAAAGGCTGAGGGGTCTTCAAAGGGCTGGTGGCTCTAGTTTTAACAACAAGGTTGTTAATCTTTCCATAATAGGCAGCTCCCGATAAGGAGGATGGGACATATTTCCAGGTGAGCTCCCAGGTCCCACATGCAACTCCCAGCCAGGTTAGAATGTGCTCT